ATGGACCTATCCTCCCTGAATTTACCTAGCCCATTTTTTAACTTAGTTATACTATCTGCCGCTGCAACATCCTGTGGCAATGATCTCTACTAGTTAACTGCACACTGCATATAAAAAAAAAAATACTTTGTCTTGTTTGCTTTAAACCTTCTTTTCTGCTAATTTCAGTGGATGCCCCATAGTTCTAGTATTCTGGGACTTGTTGAATAATAGTTTCCTATTTACTTTGTCCATATCCTTTGTGGTTTGTTTGGTTTTTTTTAGACCTCCATTATATCCTCCTCAGCCTTCTCCTTTCCAACAGAAGAGTCCTAGCCATTTTAGCCTTTCTGGTATGGCAGTTTCTCCGTACAAAGAAGGTCATCTTTGTTGACCTTCTTTGTACCTTTTCTAATTCTACTATTCCTTTTTTGAGATGCAAGATCAGAAGTGCACACAGTATTCACAGTATGTTGATGTTTTCTGTTTTGTTTTCATTACCATCCTTCATGATGCCCAGCATTTTATTGGCCTTTTTATTGCTGCTTCACATTAAGCCAGTATTTTTAGAACTATTTACAATGGCTCCGAAGTCACTTATCTGAGCTGTAACAGCTAGTTCAGAACCCAGCATTGAGTACATGTAGTTGAGGTTATTTTTTATTTGCACTCATTGACATTGACATTCATCTGTCACATTTTGCCCATTTGCATAGCTTTGAGAGAGCTTTCTACTGCTCCTTACCATCAGCTTAGGCTTTGACTACCTGTAACAATTTAGTACAGACTGCAAATGATGAGATTTCACTGTGCATTCCCTTTCCCAGGCAATGGATGAAAATGTTAAAACCAGGCCCAACATAGAGCCCTGTGAGTTCCCACTACAGGCAGTCCTCGACTTATGATGGTTCTAGTAACGGCGAACCACAGTTACGATGTTTGTAAATTGACACCTGGGTTTCGAAGTTCCGACCTGGGTTTCAATTTTACGATGCTGAATGCTGGATACAGGTCTGTTGGTGGAAGGGGAAGGAAAGGGCCATGGGGGGGCAGACCAGGGCCCCTACGGGGGGCTGGGGAAAATGCTGCCCAGCTGGGGCTGCTCCAGGCTCTGGGAGTGGGGACTGTAGGTGGCAGGAGAAGCCACAGCTTGTTCAGCTGCTCCCCCAGCTGCCCCCACTGGGGCGAGGCAGGCAGTGCCAGGGCTGCGCTGGATGATCACAGGAGAAGCCACAGCTCATCCGGCTTTTCCCCCGGCTGTGCGCACTGGGGTGAGGCAGGTAGTGCCGGGGCTGGGCTGTTTAGCCACAAGAGAAGCTGCAGCCTGTCCAGCGGCTCCTGCTCTTGTCCAGTAGGGCATGGCAGGGGGGGAGGAACGTGTGACCCCAGATCTGGTCTGGTTCAGGAGGGTTGGGCTGCACTCGGGGTGATCCGGGGGCACACGCCCCCCCCCGCCCCTTTGCCCTTCTGGACATATGGTCAGAGCAGCAGTGTGCCACTCATCTGGGAGCCATTTGCTAGGCAGCTCCTCTGGTGCTCACTCATTGCTGCTGCTGCCAGTACAGCACTATAGTACTGTACCTGTACTAAATAAAGAATAAGTCCCAGTACAGTACAGTACTTTACAACAAGTTCACTGCGCTGCCCATGAGCTTTTCTGTTTCCAAACTTTTTCCAAACTGCCCACAATAATGGCAGAAAAGCATAAATCTGGTGGAAGTGATGTTTCTTCTTCTAAGAAATGTAGAACAATTACTATGGAAACTAAAATGGAAATAATTAAGAGGTCTGAAAAAGGTGAGACCCCAACTGAAAAGGGGAGAGCTTTGGATATCTGCCGAACGACTATCGTGACCATCCTGAAAGACAAAGCAAGAATTCGGGAGCATGTTAAGGACTTGGCTCCTATGCACTCAACTGTAATAACTGAGCAGCGTGTTGGACTTACTGCTCAGGTTGAGAAACTGTTAATCATTTGGCTGGAGGATCAAAATAAATGTTGTGTTCCTGTGGGTTTAGGCATCATTCAGCAAAAGGCTAGGAGTCTTTATGATAATCTAAAGCAACGACAGGGGGAGAGTTCTAATGCTGAGCCTTTTACTGCAAGTAGGGGGTGGTTTATGCATTTTAAAGCCAGGGCCAATTTGCATAACATCAAGGTCTCAAGTGAAGCTGCCAGTGCTGATGAAGAGGCAGCTCATGCTTTTCCTGAGACGTTGGCTGAAATCACTGAAGAGAGTGGCTATTGTGCTTAGCAAGTTTTTAATGTTGACAAAACTGGACTCTTTCAGAAAAAAATGCCGTCGAGAACCTACATTGCCAAAGAAGAGAAATCTATGCCGGGGCACAAAGCTGCTAAAGATAGGTTCACTCTTTTGCTTGGTGCCAAAGCTGCACGTGACCTTAAACTTAGTTTTATACCATTTGGAAAACCCCAGAGCTTTCAAGGGACATTCCAAGGCATTTCTCCCAGTGATATGGAAGTCCAATCCAAAGGCATGGGTCAGTAAGAATATTTTTGAGGATTGGTTTAATCATCATTTTGTGCCAAGTGTCAGTGATTATTGCAGCAAAAACAATCTTGCATTTAAAGCGTTGTTAATCCTCAACAATGCTCCTTGTCATCCAACCATCCTTGATGACATGCATCCTGACATCAAAGTGGTGTTTCTGCCCCATAACACCACCTCATTGTTGCAGCCCATGAACCAGCGGGTAATTGCATCCTTCAGGGCCTGCTATCTTAGGTGCACAGTTGCCCAGGCCATCAGAGCAATTGAGAAGAAAGGTGGACCAACTCTGAACAAATTCTAGAAAGGCTTTAACATTTACCATGCAGTTAAGAACATTGGTGAGGCATGGAATGAAGTCAAACAATCAAATCTGAATGGTGTTTGGAGAAAATTGTGTCCTAAGCTTGTGTCGGATTTCCAAGGCTTTACAGACACTGTTGAAGAGGTGACTAAAAATGTTGTTGAAATGGGCAAATAACTCAACTTAGACGTTGTACCAGAAGATGTTGATGAGTTGCTGGCATCACATTTTGAAGAATTAACCAATGAGGACCTCATTGAATTGGAACAGCAAAAAGTGGCAGAGGAAGAAGATGCACCCACTGTTGAAGAGACTCCTCCTTATAAAGTCTTGACAACAAAAGTGTTGTCTGAGGCATTTCAACATTTGGAAGCTGCTTTGTCCCTGTTTGAGGAACATGACCCTAACATTGAATGCAGTGCATCACGGTAGGGGCATATGCAGCATGTACAGCTGCTACAGAGAAACTGACAAGCAAAAGAAGAGAACATCTGTCCAAACTTCCTTGGGCACTTTCTTTAAGAAAGCAGACAAGACTCCAGGAAAACCTGCAGCCAAGACTCCGGAGAAGACTCCAGGCAAGAACCCTTCAAAAAGTCCAGCAAAGTCACCTCAAAGAAGTCCTTACAAATAAATATGATTGCTATTTACACTATAAATACATAAATAAATACATATAGACAAGTAATATAGCTACATTTATTTATTTTATATAATTAATTGAGTACTGTACAAAATTCTGGGTTATTTGGGGTGAAAATAGGGTATCAGGCCTTGGTTCAGGAACCAATCCCCCATTTATAACATTGTTTCCTATTGGAAAATTGGTTCCGAGTTACAACGTTTTGACTTAAGACATGGTTTTCAGGAACCAATTGTTGTAAGTCTGAGGACTGTCTGTATTGACCTTCCTCAATTCAGAAAAGTGACCATTTAGTCCTCCCTTTTGCTTCCTATCTTTAAACCAGCTTTCAGTCCATGAAAGAACCTTCTTGCAATGCAGTAACAGCTCACTGCTTTTTTTTTTTTAAGACCCTTTGGTGAAGGACTTTGCCAAAAGCTTTTTGGAAATCCAAATATATTATGTCAGCTGGATCCCCCTTGTCTATGTGCTTGTTAATGCCCTTAAAGAACTCCAGCAGATTGGTGAGACAGATAAATATGATATACTGGGGAAGAGTCAGCGTGGTTTTTGTAAAGGGAAATTCTATATGACTCGCTGATTTTATTCCTCGTTATAGATTCTACCAATTTGCCAGGGATAGAATTGAGACTCGCTGGTCTGTAGTTCCGTGGATCACTTCTGGGGTCACCTTTTGGATGATGGATATTATGTAGTCACGTCCCTGCCAGTTCCCTGGCTCACAAACCACTGCTGATATTACTCATACCATTGCCAGCAGTTCTAAATTTCACATTTGTGTTCCTTCAGAACTCTCAGGTGAATACCATCTAATCCAGAGATTTATAAATGTTTAATTTATTGATTTTATTCTTAAATTTCCTCTATTGTTACTTCAGTGTAATCCAACTCTTCTGATCTGTCCAGTAGCAAGAAACAATCCAGTGTGGGAATCTTTCCAACATTCTCTGCAGTAAAAACCAATGCCAAGAATTCATTTAGCTTCCCTCCTCTGTGGCCCTCTCATACCTAAATGCATATTTTATACTTTCGTCATCCAGCAGTCTCACCAGTTCTCTAGCTGCCTTTCTGCATTTGGTGTATTTTTATAAGTTTTATTATTAATGTTAGCATCCTTTGCTAGAAGTTTTTGGAATTCTTTTGACCTAGATTTTTTTGCTTTCACATTTAACCTACCTGAGTGTGTGCGCTTTCCTGTTTTCCTCATTGGTCAAGGCTTTGCCTCATCGATCATAGAAAACAGCTGGAAGGAACCTTGAGGCATCATGTAGTCCACCCCCCGCTCAGCTTAAGATCATCCCTGTATGAATCACCGCAGACAACTGTCTGTCTAACCTGCTTTTAGAGACTTCCAGTAAGATACTACAACCTCTCTAGACAATCTATTCCAGTGGTTGGCTTCTCCTCCTACCTAAATCTACTTTGTTGCAACTTCAGAGCTTCAACTCATTCAGCAAATTGTTAGCCCTGAGTAAATGGAACATTTTTTAAATTCTGTAACTGAGAATGTATTTTTCCCCATGCCCAAACATTTGCAACAGTTCTCTTGGGGTTCCTTTCTTAGGTTTATTCTCTTCATGGTATTCCCAAGCTTCTACACATCCTGAATGTGCAAAATGAGGACATCCAGCGGGCAGCATGTGGAGCCTTGAGGAACTTGGTGTACGAGGATAATGACAACAAGCTGGAAGTATCTGAGCAGAATGGGGTTCCAGTCCTGCTCCGTTTACTCAGACAAACCAGGGATGTGGAGACTAAAAAACAAATAACAGGTAATATTTGCGGAGCATTATTTTGAGAGCTCATTGTGGTGCACAGGGCTGCTTCAGTATAAATGTTTGCTTACTTTACATAGGCAGACACTGGGAGCACCTATACTCGTGCTGGACATCTGCTTCAATGTATACTAATTAGCATGCGTCAGAGCAGACCTAATTAATCGAGACTAATGGAGCGCGTTAATTAACATGCTCCAGCAGCCTCCATGTCACATCTATTCAGCATCCACATGCTTCAAGATGATAGAGGGGCACTTGAACTAAAGATTCATAGATTTCATAGGCATTAGGGCTGGAAGGGACCTCGGAAGATCATCAAGTCCAGCCCCCTGCCCCAGGGGCAGGAAGTCAGCCAGGGTCAAAGGATCCCAGCAAGATAGACATCCAGATGTTTCTTAAGAGTCCAGAGTAGGTGCATGCACCACCTTTGGAGGCAGTCTATTCCAGGCCTTGGGGGCTCAGACAGTAAAGAAGTTTTTCCTTATGTCCAGCCTGAAACAGTCTTGGAGGAGTTTGTAACCGTTTGACCTTGTCATCCCTTGGGGCGTTCTGGTGAACAGACCTTCCCCCAGATCCTGGTGTACACCCTGTTGTACTTATAGGCTGCCACCTGGTCCCCGCTGAGCCTGTGCTTTTCCAGGCTGAAAAGTCCCATGGCTCTCAGCCTCTCATCATAGGGCCTATTCTCCTACCCTCTGACCATGCACATGGCTCTCCTCTGGACTCTCTCAAGCTCTCCACATCCTTTTTAAATTGTGGAGCCCAGAATTGGATGCACTACTCCAGCTGTGGCCTCACCAAGGCCGAGTACAGCAGGAGAATAACATCCTAGGATTTGCTTGAGAAGCATCTATGGATGCAAGCCAGAGTTTTGCTCGCTTTACCAGCTGTAACAGCACACGGTGGCGCACATTCATCTTGTGGTCAGTCATGACCCCCAAGTCCCTTTTGGCCATGGTGCTAGCAAGCATTGCACTGCTGAGCCTATAAGCGTGCTGCAGGTTTTTTTACTCCAAGGTGGAGTACCTTGCATTTTTCAGTGTTGAGCGCCTTTAGCTTTTCATCTGCCCATTTTCTGAGCCCGTCAAGGTCGGCTTGGATCGCCACCTTATCCTCAGGTGTGGATGCTTTACCCCAAAGTTTGGTGTCATCAGCGAACTTGGCCAGTCCACTTCTGATACCAATGTCTACATCATTAATAAAGATGTTAAAGAGTATAGGTCCAAGGATGGAGCCTTGGGGGACCCCACTGGTCACGGCACACCATGATGATTTACTTCTGTCTGTCTCTGAGTCCAACCTCAGAGCCAGTTCCCCAGCCATTGGATTGTTATGTAGCCAAGGCTGCAGTTAGCCAATTTTTTCATGAGGAGATCATGGGACACCAGATCAAAGGCTTTTTTTAAAGTCAAGATATATGACGTCAATCTCTTCTCCCTTGTCCAGGTGATGGACGAACTTTAGTTCAAATGTCCCTGCCAGTATTTTGAAGTGTGGGATGCTGAATACATGTGACATTGTGGACGGTTTAATTAGAGCGGCTCTTGAAGCCACTCTTATTAAAGTGCCCACCCCTCTACCTCGGAGCATGGTGGTGTCCAGTTCAGCTGAGAAGAATAAGAATTTAGAAATGTCGTGAGCCAATTTAGGCCCCTAGCTTGGGCCTACCCCTTAAGTTTTCACTTAAAGCGAGTTCTCCTAAGGAGTAATACTAACAATAGGCACCAGGCCACTGTAGTTTCCCCTGTATAAACTGCTTCTGAGTTCTTAGTGTAACTCTTCTGCTGGGCACTAGGAGGCAGCAACAAGGGCCAGGTTTAATTTTGGGGTATTAAATATATTTTAGCTTGCCTCGAGCCCCCACCCAGACCACTTGGGAAACACTAAATAAATTACTAAGGTGTCCCACATAAACAAAACCCCCTCCTCACGATCAGTATAAACACAAACACCCAAATTTATTACAGAGAATATAACAAAACAAAAAAAAACGTAAATATAATTTTAAACCACTGTTACTACAAAGCAAAGTCTATAGGTGGCACCCTCTTGAGGGAAGTTTCACCCATATCCAGCAGTCTGAGACCTGGGGCTCCCCAGTGGGTAGTTCTGGGGGCCTGCACCCCTATACCTGCCTTTCAGCAATGGGCTGGAGAGGGGGGCTCATACCGGAGAGTCCTGAACTGCTCCTTGGATTCACTGCACCACGGGGAGGTGCTCAAGAGTGTGGGCCCTTCTGCATTGTGAGAGGCTCTTGCTCCTGGAGAAGAAGTGGTAGAGCACCAACCTCCACTTCCACATGGTAGCTTTGAGGGGTTAGCTGCAGCTTTCATCAGCATATTGCACCCAAAAATTCTCAGTCCCAATCCCAACTCTGCTGGGTATTAGGCCTGACCTTTCCTTCAAGTTCTTTTGCAGTTTATCTTGGCTTGGGCCTGAACTACACACCTCTTGGTTAGAACATAAACTACAAAAAGGGACAAAAGGAGGCCCAGGCCTATGTCATTGGGCCTGAACTGGACAGCAGAAAGCCAGCCAGGCCTATACTGGACTGAGGCCTGGATAAACAACAAGTAGTGCCAGGTCTCATCATGGCTCCAGCCGTGCCCATCTTTACCCTAGCCCAAAGCTGCCAGCCAAACATATGGTTGAGATTCAGCCTCACAGCTAGGCTGAAACACCATAGCTGTAAAGCAGCAAAAAGGGTCCAGACCTATATGGCTGTAGCCTGAACATCCGGTCTCAGCTATAATACAACGCTGAGACACTGCAGTTCCTGAACACAGGGGCCAGTAGCTGCCAGGACCCATTCCTGGGCAGTTTGCCTCACGGATTAATACCCCGACTCAAGAAAAAAAGAGAGGAAGGAAATAGGAGTCTCAAACTCCGAGACAGACTTTCTCTCCCTGTACCTGAGGGTTTCTCATCACATAGTTTTTGCTTTCCTCTCCAGTGAGGAGTGGATGCAGACCCCCCATGGGGAGCAGGTTTTCTAGCTGTCAGTGCAACTGTGCAGCTCTTAGCAGCCCCAGGAGAAAGAGTGAGAAACCTTAGTTGAGTTGTTTTTGTATACCTGGTGTGACATCACCAAAGCCTTGTCCAGTCAGGGAGTGCCACACTTCAGCCTCTCACCCAGTTTGCCTACAGGATCTTCTGCTTCCTTTGGCCAATGAGACCAAAGGGTTTTGTATATTTTGCCCAGATACAGGCCCCCAGCTTGCTGTGTGCTGAGCCCATGGCCAGAGCAACAGGAGCCATCTTACCCACATAAAACACACCCAAAAAACCCACAATACACAACCCAGTGTGTGTGGGTGGTACATTAGGTTAGAAGGGTGCAACCCCTATACACAGGAGAAGAAAGTGGGGTCCAACCTCAGACCACTGTGGGACACTAATCTGAGAAATCCACTGGGCACTTAAGGCCATTTGCACCAATGCTGCATACCTCCACAGCAGTTCTGGACCACCTGAAGCTCTTCTGTGGCTTTCTCCAGTGTAGCTGTGTTGCTGCAAACTCCACAGCTGATAACTGCCCTAACAAACTCCTCAGAGCAGGGGTAGATGACCTTTTCCAGCTGCGGGTTGGACTACCCCTCACTTCCCCCCATCCCGGAGTCAGAGTTGAACAGGGAGGGAGGTAGAACCTAGGACCTGAACACTGGTCCTTCTTGCAGCACAGGGAGAGTACCCACAGCTAAAGCCCCCCACTGTGGAATGCCACTCAAGCCCCATATCCGTGGTTCAGATCCAAGGGTTCTATGGGCCGGATCCAGCATATCGCTGACCCCTGCCTTAGAGGCTCCGTTCTCTCTTCTAAGCTTGAGCTGTATGTCAGAAATAGATGTCCTCACATTTGGGGTCCACTCCTCCCTAACCCTCTCCTTGATCACAGATCCCCATACCCACAAGTGACTCTTGGTGTGGGGTTGATGGTAACCAGAAAGCAGACCCATAGCAATACTGCCCTCTCCTTCCTGTGTAAGGTGGTAAGGCTCAGCTTTTACTCAGGCTTTGCAGAGATTACGTCCCCACTCCTATCAATATGAGTTTGCCAGAGTGAGGACTGTGTAAAAAATTAGTAAGGGTGTTATAATATGGCCATGATGATTTGTCAGGGAAAGCCCCTGGATAAAAAATATTGTAGTTCCCCCACCGTATATTAATTTAGTGTTTCATTAGGGGAAAAATAAGTCCCTGTTTCTCACAGAGACAAAGATGTTGCCTTTGCGCTCTGCCATAGCCAGTCAAAGGGCAAGTGCTCCCTTGTACTTCTCTATGGCAGTGGTACACAGACTAAGTACACAAACAGGAAGCCAGGTTGATTTTATTGAAGAACCAAAAGGAAAACCATGTCTTTGCTGTTTTACCTGGAGAAAACTAAAATGGGTAGGTAGAGTAAGATTTTGTTTTCGGGTCCATTTACTCTTTTAAAAGGAGAGAATTAAAACCATTGATAAATTAAATTGTCCTTAAAATAGTGTTACTCAAAGATGTCCTTTTTAATGTTTTAAGGTTATTTAAGGTTTTGTGTCTAGTCTGTGTGTTATCTCCGCTAAGTTCTGCACCCACCACACTGTTAACAAGTTTTTCACATTCAGCTATTGAAAAATGAAGTCCCTCATATAATTTCTTATGCCACATATTCTTTCAATATACAGTAGCACTTTTGCACTAAGAATTTCTGCTGCTTCTATTGCCAGTGACCCAATCACAGTTTTACATGACATGTTGGTATAAATAGCTGTGTCCTGTCTGTGCTACCAGTTCCATCATTAGTACTGTTTGGAAGCACTTTGATCATTCTAGGGTGGTTGTTTTCAATCTTTTTTGAACCCCTTTGAATTGTAAGTGTGGGTATTCACAAAATTTTGATAGATCATAGTAATCTTTCATGGACCCCTTAGACATAATCTGAGGACCCCCATGGGGTCTATGGACCACAGGTTGAAAACCACTGCTCTAGGATAAAGAGAATAAAAGTAGGGGGGTGT